CCTCCAGTGAAATCCTGGATACATGTGTGTTTTTTGTTTTGTATTTTCATCAAGATATCTAGAGATCGTATAACTATTCCCGCGTATATATAAATAATACTTCTTACCATTGAATTGAAGCAGCACTCGATCCAGGGTGTCAACATGGCTATCTACTTGTGATTTTAGCTTTGTAACATCAGAAGCAGCCGGCAGATTTTTGGGTAGAAAACGTCTGATGTCCTGTAGAAGTGACATGAAATGGTCCTTTACGCCGCTATACCACCATATTCTTACTAGTTTATCTTTGGTAATACGAGACACTATTGACAAAATGACCAGTAACGCTTCAGATGAGAGTTTGTTGCCAGGCTTTAGTTTATTTAATGCAGAAGACATCATGGCTATCATCGCTTCACAACTCCTATCGTAGGAGCCCAAAGCACGTCCTTTCTCAACTGAATCTACCATGGCTTCAAGATGTGACTGTAATCGTGAAGTAATATCAGAAGACTGTGGGAGTAGAGATGACATCGCAAGTATAATAGATACGGCGTCACTGAGTACTTCACGTACGCCATGGTCAAGGGCTCTTTTAGACACTGATTTCATCAGCTCGTCCAAACACGAAAGGACATGGTTCTGCAAATCACTGTTAAGATCAGTCCAACTAATCTTATTCAAAATAGTATCACTGATGCAAAGTATACCTTTGAAAACGTCATTACTGATCTCGGGATGTTTAGACAAATGCTGAATTACATGTTTTATCATACTTTGCAGATCTGACGTCAGCTTGTTTTTAATACTATCATCAATGTTGTCCCATGGTAGTTCCTCCAGTACCTTAGTGTTTTCCTGCATCACTTGAATCAATACATCAGTGCTCAGGTCAGGATGGTTAACAAGTCGATCAGCAACCCAAGTCATCATAGTTTCTATACTTGAGATCAGCTTTATTTTACTACCATCATCAAGTTCATCCCATGGTAGTTCCTCCAGTACCCTAGTGTTTTCCTGCATCACTTGAATCAATACATCAGTGCTCAGGTCAGGATGTTTAACAAGTTGCTCAGCAACCGATGTCATCATAGCTTCTATGCCAGAGATCAGCTTCATTTTACTACCATCATCAAGGTTATACAATGGTAGTGTTTTCAATATCTTGGTATTTTCCTGTATCACTTTAATCAATTCATCAGTGCTCAGGTCAGGATGGTTAGCAAGTTGCTCAGCAACCAAAGTCATCACAGTTTCTATTCTTGAGGTTAGCTTCATTTTACTTCCTTCATCAAGGTGATACAATTGTAGTTTTTGAAAAACCTTTGTGTTTACCTGCATCACTGTAATCAATACA